GCAGGAATGAAGGTATGTGGGGCTCTTCATTTCAGTGCTCTACTGTTATCACTGAATGGTCTTTAGGATAAAGCTCTTTAAGAAAATATCTTGATTTAATTTTTATTTCAAGTATTTTTTGCCTGTCTTCTTGCCGGCTCTAATTTCCCTCGCTCTTCACAAGTTCCAGCACACCAAAGTCCAAGGCTATGTATAGGTCCATATGTGCAGAGCGGATTTCATGCTTATTGGGTCAGGAATGATGGTCTACACCTGCACGTATTGGTGTTTTGGCACTAAATCTGGGATAAGGAAATGCTACACTGCTTTCAGGAAGCTTCACTCTTTTCTTGCTCTTGATTGTCAAACATTTCCTCTTTCTTTATGAAATCAGAATTATAGGACCACAGACTAATTTAGACTAGAAGGAACTCTGGGAGGTCTACCCTGGAGGTCCTCTGGTTCAGCCATCCAGCCACCCACCTAAAGCAGTACTATCTCAAGGTTAGGTGAGGTTGCTCAGGGCCTTTTCCAGTGCTCTCTGAGCAGCCTATTCCAGAGCCCAACCACTATTGTGATTTTTTTTTCCCTTACATCTAGTTGGGATTTCCTTTCCTGCACCTCGTGACTGCAACTTCTCATTCTTTTGCTTTGCATACTGAGAAAATGCAGTTTTGGCCCCCCTGTTGTTGGAGATAATACTTATTCCCTTCTCAGACCTCTTTCCAGGCTAAACAAACCTAGTTTTCTCATTCTCTTCTATCTCATATGTCATGTACTGCAGCTGAACCATCTTGGCCTCCCTGAACTAAACTAGCTACAGTTTGTCAATGTCTCTTGTACTGGGAAGCCCCAGACTGAACACAACACTCCAGTAGTGTCTCACCAATGTCAGATTTCTCTGTGAAGTACTTATAGTGTAAGGCTGTGGTTATGTACATGCAATCAATATGGCACCTTACCTTGCTGCTTTGTTCCCTCCACCTCTGGATAGCCCACCCAACCGTGACACTTCTTTCCTTCAGTTCCCTTGTAGGTGTTACCTTCATTGCTTCACCCCTTTCACTTTTCTATCCCTTCCATAGCCAGAGCCACCAGTTCCAATTCTTTTGTAGGTATCCATACCCTGCTTAACAGCTATTTTTCGGTTTCTGGTATTTTCTTTTACAGTTCTCATCTCAGACTTAAGGATAGAGAAGACAAGATAATTTTGATTTCTTTTCAGGTTCTGTCTTTCCCTGATACCCTTTGCTGCAACTGTTCCAGGTGAAATTCCCCTTTCTTGACTATGGGACGCTGTATTTTCAATGAGCTCTTCATAAGCACATGGGATCAAGGCAGTAACACATCCCAACCTCTTTGGGAAATACCTGGCATGCACTAATACCGTGTTTGGTTTTCCCCTGGCCATATCACATGCTGGCTCAGAGTAGCTCAGAAGACATCTAATACACTCAAGTTGCTCTCATCCGCTGTTCGTATAAGCTTTTAGCTAATAGCAGTTATTTATATTAATTCCCTAGTGAATGTCTTTGAACATGGAACTATTAAACTACATTCCATTTTTTATTACTGTCATCTAGTTCTTTCTGTCTGATTTCCTGATCATCCTCTGTATTGACTATGCCATCTAGTGAATATCATCATCAGATTTTTAGCACATTGCTAGTATATGTGCCAAGGTAATTGATGCAAAAAAGATGAAAACATTAATCCAAAAATCAATCTATGACCCACCTCCACAAGAATCCTTCTTTCACCCTACTTCAGTGTTAATGTTTCTCTCTTCATAAAATCCACCATCTTCTTCCAGATGCTTTTATTATCCCCTTCTGGTTCAGTTTAACCCCATAGTACCCTGTATCAAATTACCTGTGGAACTCCAGATATAGTTTCCTTTCTGTAGCAAGTCCCTATTTCTTTCAAGGAATCCTGCAGTTACGAGGGTTGATCCTTCCCTCCTGCCTTGTCCTTCTTTTCTGCACATAACTACTATGCTAATTTTTCTACATAAACAAGGTATCTTCTCCAATTGACAGATGAGTTAATACTACTGGCCCATGAGCTCATGCAAGTTCTTCAGAATACTTGTGTGGATCCAGTATCAGTGTGAAGGTCACTGACATTTCTTTCATCTAAGCTGCAGAAACTCTGTGTTCATTTTTTCATTCCCACCTTGCCCCTGTGCTCAATATCACTGTATCCAGCTCTGGAGCCCTCAGCACAGCAAAGATGCAGATCTGTTGCAGTGAGTCCAGAAGAGCGCTGCAGAAATGATCAGAAGGCTGAAACACGTCTCTGTGAGGAAAGGCTGACATTTGGGGTTCTTCAGTCAGTAGAAGAGAAGGCTCCAGGGAGACTTCAGCAGCCTGAAGTACTTAAAGGGGACTTAAGAGAAAGATGGAGACAAACATTTTAGCATGGCCTGTTGTGATAGGACAAGGGTAATGAGTTTAAAATAAAAGAGGGTAGATTTAGACTAAATAGAAGGAAGAAATATTTTACAAAGAGGGTACTGAAACACTGGAACAGGGTGCAAAGAGAGGTGGTAGATGAGCCATCCCTGGAAGTATTCAAGGCCAGGTTGGACAAGCCTCTGAGCAACCTGATGTAGCTGAATATGTCCCTGGCCATGGCATGGGGGTTGGACTAGATGACCTTTAAAGGTCCCTTCCAACCCAGACTATTCTACAATTCTGTGATTGTCTTTTCATTAAGATCTGAGGCAAGTAAACTGGGTAGTTCTTAGACCACACTGAAATTGGTTTGCATTTCTATATGATGCACTTCTAGATCCACAAATAACAGCCTTATGCCCATTTTATTGATGAAACCCTTTTTCTCTTTATGTCCTCTGTCATGCTAACTCAGCTTGAATTTTGGCAACACTTTGGTCCCTCACTCTTAGAACAAGGGTAGCAAAACTTATAAGAGAGAAAATAGTTATACATTCTCCTCTATAGTATTCACAACATTATTTTTCCCTTTCTTCCCTGCTTAGCCTTAATTGCTCTTCTGAGAGAAGGAGAGAGCCTGGAGGATCTGATGAAGTTGTCTCCAGAAGAACTGCTGCTGCGATGGGCAAACTATCACCTGGAGAATGCAGGATGCAACAAAGTCAGCAACTTCAGCTCAGACATCAAGGTATGAGAAACACTGACCAACAACAGCAAACCAGCAGCTCCACATCCAAATCCTTCTCCTTCAAAAACAAATTGTTCACTGAAACAATCCAAGCAGCTGAGACTGCTCTGCCAAATACGTGGAGACAGGCACATAAAATCGTTTTAGTGTGGTTTATCTTTTTGCTCAGTAGTATTCCTCCTCCTCCTGACTTCCAAGTCATCACTGCCAGCCCCAGCACACCACATGCCTAGGAAAGAAATGGCTGCTGGCTCTGGACATGGCATAATGACTCTACCACTGTATTTTCAATTCCCTGACTCTATTGCTCTCCTTCCTAAAACCCTTAAATGCCTCTTGACCTCGCTTTAGTTTGGAAAAGTTAGACCTTGACCCAGACATGTAACTAGGTGTAGGAGAAGAGGATGGGGATCTTCCAATTCCTCCACTTGATCTTTCCTTCAGTACAGCACCTGGGTTATGTGCTCCTGTGTCCCAACCTTTGCTATATCCCTGCATGCACTTACCTTCAAGTTTTAATTCAGTGGGATTATTCAAAATAATATAGCTGGTGGAGAGGCACTTGCAAGTATGGGTCTCTAGTCCATGCAGCATATTTCATCTACTTCAGAATTCATGGGCTTGTGAGCACAGATTTCAGCAGAGGAAAGTTCTCTGTAGGACCCTTATTCTTCCCAGACAAACATATCTGAACCTCAGTGGTGAGGCCTGGCCAGCATCCTAGAGCTGTAGCGGGTATATCAGCAAGGGTGTGTGAGCTGGCTTCCAGGAAAGCCAGAGGATGGCCAGCACACCAGTCTCACCAGCCATGACCCAACCTGCCTGCTCCCACCGTAGCATGGGAAAAACCCGACTCCAGAGATGCCTGGCTGTAGGCTTCACCAGGGACTGAAGCATGGGACGTCATTTACCATGACTTACTTGACATACAGAAAAAAACACCAGGGGAGACAACAGGAGAGTCTGAGAGTCACATTTGACAACATAGTTTTTATTGTAATAGAGTTTTGGTTCACTGGGTGGAGGCAACTGAAGAATATCCATGGAAAGAGAAGGGAATGGAGTCTTTCCCATCTTTCTGTAGGCTGGCTGAGAGCTCTATAATGCAACTGATTAAATCCTATCTGCAACTGAAAGATAAATAGCACTTACCATATTTACAGTTGGAAAATAAGGTTTTACCTCTCAGAGGCCAAGACTTCAGCTTTTACAGCCATTCTCTAATTAAGTGTGTCTCCCCACCTCACTTCAGTTATAAATAACTACTTTCTAGATATGGTGGGTAGTAACACAGATGTATAAGATTTAAAATAATTCAGGTAATCTACTTTATATTTTGAAGAGTATCAGTTGAGTTAGTCAAGTCCCTAGATAATAACATGTAGCTTTGTTTTCAGTTCTTTGAGTTATTCCTGAAGTGAGATTAATATTTTCCACACATAGAAGTAACATTACATTTCACAGAAGATTAGACAAAACATGTTAAATCCTTGTCTTTTCCCTGCCCTTTTGCCTGAAAAATGCTGATACTGTTGTCAGTTTTAACTTTTGTCCTTGAAAACTATGCTTTCTCTTCCATAACTGTTCCAGCGTTGCTTTGAAATCCACTTTAAACATCTGCTTTCTTCTTCTGCATTTTCTTTTATTAAATGCTCAGCAGCCTGACTTCTACAGCATTATAAAGGTATGCATTTTCTTATCTCTAATTTAATGTTCAGATTAAGCCAATTCTAATACTTCTTTTGTTGTTGCTGTCCTTTTTGTATGTGCAACACACAACACTTTGTCTCAGGCGCTGACCGTTCTGCAGCATGTATATATTGGCTTGGGGAAGAGATAGATCTGGCAAACACAGCATAAAGTAGGAATTGCGAAGTGCTTCCAGTTTAATTAATTTAATTATGTAGCCCAATGATGGATGTAATAAAAATGAAGCATGCAGGCACATTGTTCAGGGGAGCACTGGCACGCAGAACCTGAGCTTTAGATGTAATTTTTCCTCCCCTTAATTTCTCTGTCTGTCACAGGACTCGAGAGCTTATTACCATCTGCTGAACCAGGTTGCCCCCAAGGGAGACGAAGAAGGCGTTCCGGCTATTACTATTGACATGTCGGGATTAAGGGTAAAATGAGATAAGTTTAGAGTAAATGACGATACTTTCTATCTGTTACTTGCATTGCTGGCCAACACAGAGTTGCACTGGGATGCCAGAACAAGCAAACTCTTTTGAGCATTGCAACATGATCTTGTGTCTCAGAAATCAAAGCTTTCACAGATTTAAATGTGTTTTGCCTTTCGTTAGATATTATTGCTGAAACTTTAGCAACCATTGAACGACACTGATAAACTACTAACATGTAACAAGTATATTTAAATATATTTCTTTGGGAATTTCATCAAAATATCTGCTTTTATATGGAATATAACCATAAAAGCATTAGGGTGAGATGGCTGGATTGTAGGTAAAGCCCTTTTGAAAACATAGACCTGATGTTTGTAAAAGTGGGAAAGGAAATAGTTATAAATCTGACAAAGACCTGGTTTAACAGCCTTGCACCTAGCTCCACACATGGAAACCCTGAGTGGGTCTTGTGTGCAGTGCCAGGCGGTGGGGTGAGGCTGATGGCCCCCTTTTCTCCCGGAGCAGGAGAAGGATGACGTCCAGCGAGCAGAGTGCATGCTGCAGCAGGCGGAGCGGCTGGGCTGCCGGCAGTTTGTCACAGCCACCGACGTCGTGCGGGGAAACCCAAAGCTAAACTTGGCCTTCATCGCCAACTTGTTCAACAAATACCCTGCCCTGCATAAGCCAGAGAACCAGGACATCAACTGGAGCTCTATTGAAGGTGAGGAGAGTGCAAATAAAGTATGTTTCTGGCCACCCATGCCACAGTATTCCCAGCTCTGAGTTGATGATATGTTAACCTAACCCCATATCCTTCAGATATATTCACTGCACCATTAACACAGGCAGCCTTGACAAATGGAGGCTGCTCTTTACCTGCATGTAGCTTCTCGTATTTTGGAGGTCTGTTCTGTGGATGGCGCATGTTAAAAGACAAAATGGTTGTGGGATGTCTGAACCAGTACTGACTATTGAGCGTGCTGGTTAGTTGAAATTAGAGTTGATTTAAGGGAATTAATCATTCCCTTAATTGAGAGTAATTTAAAAAACAGATCTTGCATAAGCCTGCTGCCTGCTTGTTCTGAGCTGGGGTCAGGGCCACTGCTGTATGGATCATTTGCTGAGGTTCAGGTCCTTCTTTCTCAGCCTCGTAGTGAAACTGTTCATGCTAGGGCACAGGCTGTTCTTGAATTCTTGAAGGCATTTCAAGGCCAATCTGCCTAAACGCTATAATATATAGGTCATGACGAAATATTACATGCTGCACCATGCTCTCTTATTTCACATGTCAGCCAGTGTCTCCTTCTGTTTATGGTTCAGTGCACTGTAAATTCTGAGTTACGGTTTCATCACAGGACACATTTTACTGGAGTGTTGTGTTTTGCAGGACTGTTGATTGATGTATCTGTTATTTTAGGTGAGACAAGGGAAGAGAGGACGTTCAGGAACTGGATGAACTCTCTGGGTGTTAACCCACGTGTAAATCATTTATATAGGTAAGAAGAGGTATTGCACTTTCTTCAGATGATAAATACAGCCACCAAATTGCTTAAAAAACCTAAAAACTTTTGGATCCTATAAGAATATATGTTGCTTGATTTTTTGTAGTTTTTTTTTTTTTGTAATAGAAAACTAAGTTTACCCCATTAATAGTTTAGTTGGGTTCCTTTCCTCTGATCTTTGGATAACAATATGTCTTTTTTATTGTTTTCAGTGACCTGTCAGATGCCTTGGTCATCTTCCAGCTCTATGAAAAGATCAAAGTGCCAGTAGACTGGAACAGAGTGAACAAACCACCATATCCTAAACTGGGTGGCAACATGAAGAAGGTAAAAAAAGCTGGAATAGCTCCAGTAGCGATGCCCTATCCTCAGAGGATGTCTGTACCAGTTCAAACAGCAATGTGGGCACTCACATTGCTCTCAAGTCCCAAGTACAGCACATTAAATGATCTTTTGTCTAGTCAGTGAATAAATTTTCATCCTGGAAAAGAAACATACATTTAACTCACTGGCTCTTTTGACAGGTGAATAATATTTGTAAAGAAAAAAGACTCAACACCTTTGGTGTCAATATTTAAGAACTGTATTTGCAGACCATTTTTGCTTCTTAGTCACCAATTATAATGCATTTTCACCATGAGTCATATGGCACCAGCTTAATTGCAGCTGTCTGGATCACTGCCCTCCACATCCAGTGAAGACAGTGATGATAAGCACTCTTGACCAGATGCCTCAAGAACTGATCACAGAGTTGATGCTAAATACAAAGCTTTCTCCCAGCTATCTGGATGAGTAATTCCATTCAGTTAGGCCAGAGTGATTGACTGACCACAGTATTGACTGGGACACTAATCCTTTGTCTCAGTGTAATGCTGTGATGTTGGACGTACCCATGAGCCATAGATTCATATTATCCAGGGAAATCTGGTTTTCAGGCTCTGATGATGAAGTATAACATTTCCTTCTATGTTAACTGTTTACCATGGTATTTTTGGGATGTAACTGGCTGCTGTTACTCAAACAGCTGTATGTTTGACTAATATGTAAGGAGCCCCAGAGCTCCTTTTTGCCCAGGAGGATCAGGACTAAGGAATCCAAAGAATTTAAAGTAACAGCACCTTGTCTTCTTTTTATCTATATTTTTGAACTGCACTAATTGACTCTGTCATTAACAGCTTGAAAATTGCAACTATGCAGTGGAACTGGGAAAGAATCAAGCCAAATTTTCCCTTGTTGGCATCGCTGGGCAAGATCTGAATGAAGGAAACCGTACACTCACGCTGGCCTTAATCTGGCAGTTGATGAGAAGGTATGGCAGCCAGACACAAACTGCAAACCATATACTCAGTTTGCGTTGTGATGGTTTCCTGCTGCTATCACTGAGAATGCTCGACAGGCTTTCTTACTCCTCTCTTTGCACTTATATGCAAAGACAGAGTAACCTTCTGCTCGCTCCTAGTTAGGGGTGCAATCAGGAAACACGTCATCTTGTGGGCAAGGCCATTACAGGCAGCTCATGTCGAATGTTATTATTGTCACTGTCTGTATAGCGTGAGTAAATGTGCATTGCATGGAAGAGAAAAAAATAAGTTGAAGGTCTCTGTATCAGAGAATGGGAAGAATGTACTGGAAACAAGGAGTTGATGCAGGAGGTTTGTAATCTGCTACCTGAAGCAGATGCAGTGAAGTAGGTCTCCCCACTTTAATGTAATTCTCTGTGAATGTGTGTGTTTATGTGC